TAATTTTAAGGAAAAAATGAAGTGGGAATAAAAATCTATTAAAATGCAAACAGAATATGATGATTATTATAGTAGAACTACATATGTGATAAATATTTTAGGAAAAAAAATTTCAGTTGATGAAAATGATAAACATGGAAGAGGTAACATTTACATTACTTACATTAACTAATATACTTACATTAACTAACTTCCTTAGTTAATTAGAAAATGGGTGGAAGGAGTGAAGGCCTTATCACATTAATCACATGTTAGTAGATGAAGACTTGAATGTGTTTGAGGGGTAGGAGAGGAGGTGATGGAAAATTTGGTGAGCAGTTAATAGATTTATTAGTGAGAGAATATCTCAGTGAACTAGAGTAGTAGGAAGGAAGATTTAAGAAAAAAGGCAGAAGGAAAGAACATTAAGAAAAATGAAGGTATTTCAAAAAGTAAAAATATATCTTCCATAAGATAAAGTAATTCTATTCATAGAATCTTTATGGAGAATGCAAAAACACTAATTCAAAGGGATATATGCATTCCTAGGTTCATTGAAGCACTCTTTATAACCGTATGAAAGTAATATTAAGTATCCAAGGACAAAATAATGGATTAAAAACAAACAAACAAACAAAAAAAAAGTAGTGTACTTTCACAATGGAATACTAGTCAACTACACAAAAGATGGAGTCTTGCCATCGGCAACAATATATGTGTACCTAATAGGGATTATGCTAAGTGAAGTAAATCAGAAGGAGAAAGACAAATACTAGATGGACTTTAATCAAATGTGGAACATAAAGGAAGAAAAAAGGAACAGATAAAACTAAATGAAAACAAACCCTATAAATCTGAGTGCAGAATTGAGATTACAAGGGGAAGGTATGCTATAAGAAGCAGAGTGTAAGAACCCAATGAGCTACAGTGGGGGATTATAGATATTTTGGTGATGGGTGTGGTCTGGTAACAGATCTGATGACGCATCAACCTATACCCTTAAATTATATGCTGTTACAAACCAATGCATTCATTTTTTAAAAGCAAACTAAACAGAAAAATGGGAATTAAGTGAGGACAAATGACAGAAAGCTTAGAACATTATGGTAAGAAACACCATCTTATCTAGAACAGTAAGCAAGAAAATCAAGCAGCAAAAAGGTTGAAGACTACCTCTTCAGATATTCCATCTTGTTGCTGCAAAATGTCTATATGCTTCTCAACAATGTATATCTAACCTATCTACTTCATTCTTTAGGTAGAATGATGAAACATAAGCAAAAAGGTTTCTTTGTTACTGATGGGCAAGACATGGTTAAGCAACAGAATAAGGATGGATGGGAAGGAAGATGCACCAGCTTATTTCTCACTTAAAAAACAGCTCTAGAACAAGAGATAGACATTAAATACTGTCAAAAAAAAAAAAAAAACAGCATTTTGAGGGTAGATGCTTTTTTCTTTTCTGTGTAAATAAGTATATATAAGATGCTTAAAACAAAATACTTGATAAAATTTGCACAAATAAGAGGTGGAGATGACTCATGTTGCTGTTTAAACTAGTTCTTATTATTGCCAAAAGCATAAACATCAGATTGAAAAATGAAGTTCTGTTAAGGGTAAGTGAGGATAGTGTGAACTAATCATAGAAACTATCTCAATGACATGGAAGGTCTTGGGCATTTCCAAAAAACAACTCCTAACAAGTCCACCCCTTCTTGAATACAGATACTACCTCTCTCATAAGAAATAGAGCTCAACTTCTGTTGGTTTAAACAAAGTATGTAACTATTTTGATGCACAGAATTTGAGGAAATCAAAATGGATCACAGACATTAAATAGGCCTGGAAGGTTCCATCTCTTCTTTCTCGGAGCCTAAAACCTTTATGTAAGAAATCCAGGCTACCATGTTGGATACAGAAGCCACCTGGGAGAGCCATAGGAGGTTTTTTGTTTGTTTGTTTGTTTGTTTTAATTTCAGTATTTCACTTATTTATGCATACAGAATTAGGGTACACGCCAGAGGTGCAGGGGTAATGACAGGATCCACCAGAACAGAGTGGGGGAACAGAATGGGCAAATCTATGAAGTACACTGCTGAGGGGCGCAGCAAGTGAGACAGGAGAGGCCTGCTGTACCATGTGGGTCCCTTCCCTCACCAGGCTCCTACTCGTGCTAAGGTGGCTTCTGCTAGCTTCATAGTGCTGCACTTGAACCTGCTGCACCACCAGGGAGGACCCGAGAACCATAGGAGTTTAACACCAGATAAAAAAAGGATCATTGAGACCTCAAATGTGAACTAACCTGTACAGTCACCATTTAACCATCACTACTGGGGAGGCCATCAGAAAAAACAAAAACAGTACAAAAATGTCTTCCTGACCCCAAACCATCCAGAGAATTGTGAACTATAATACAGCGATAGCTGCTGTTTGTAGAGATTTGGTTTATGGTGATACTTAGAGGAAGTAATGTAGATGTTCACCTGTGAACCACAGGGAACTTCAGTTCTCTCTAAGCTGGAAATCCCCCTCACTATGAAGAAAAGTATTAGCAATCCCCATGCCTTTTCTATCTTACTGATGTAGCTATAGTGAAAACATGTGGGATGCTGAGATAAAAAACAAGATGTCAAGTTCAATTAGAGTTTCAGATAAACACAACTATAATTTTAATATAATTATGCCCCATGCAATATTTCAGGCATGCATATACTAAAATATGTTTGTTATTAATCTGAAATTCAAATATAACTGCATTCTCTCATTTTATTTGTTAGATCTAGGAATCCCACACGCAAGGGACTGCTTTATCTTGGCTTTTAAAGAAATAAAGATTCCAAATCTTCGGAGCTATAAATGTAAATTAGCTCCTTGTGCATAACATTGTTAAGGACAAAATAAAGGGACGAGACAGGAATGAAAAACGTAATTGTGGATTGCTCAAATTTTCCAAGCCCTGGGGGAGCATATGAAGTTAATAAAATTCCTAGGGTAGACTGTAAATAACCTGAGGGTGAGAGTTTCTGAGTGCTGTGTTGGTTTGACCTGCTGTACGCTTGATATCCCTTCTTAGCAGTTCACCTTCCTACACTGATCTTCCTTCTTACTAGTTGTCATAGCTAGGTTGTTCTACATCCCTACAATTCTTATAGCCCATGAACCTGAGTGCTGGCAGCAGAAAGAGAATTCAAATTAAGGCTTTAAAGTTGATAAACTGAAATTTCTCCACTCTTCATAATTGTTTTTACACAGCTTATATTAATTGATGGAGGGAAACACCATTTATTCTTTTTTTTTTTTTTAAGATTTATTTATTTGTGCATACAGGACTGGCGTGCATGCCAGGGTTTAAGGGGTGGGAGGATTCACCAGAGACAGAGCAGGGAGCAGAACAGGCAGACTGACAAAGAACACTGCCGAGGAGAGCAGCAGATGCGACAGGAGAGATCTGCTGTGCCATGTGGGTCACCACTAGGGCTGAGGATTGAACTCTCACTGAAGCAGCTGTGGCTATCTTGCAGTGCTGAGTCCTTACCTGTTGCCCAACCAGGGAGGACCCCTTATTCTCTTTCTAAATCTACTTCAATTAAAGATTGGTTAGACAACTTTGCTACAGCTTCCTATTAAACAGCAGCAATATATTGCATTAAAATTTAGGGTGACAAAAGTAGATGACTGGATAAAAAAGATGTGGTACATATATACAATGGAATATTACTCAGCAACCAAAAAAGAGAAACACATGTCTTTTGTAGCAACTTGGATGGAGCTGGAAAAGATCATGCTTAGTGAGATAAGTCAGAAAGAGAAAGAAAAATACTGATGGTTTCACTTATAGCAGTAGTATAATGGACAAGGCGAGAAAATAACAAGAATAATGAACAGCCATATACCAGAGACATTTTGTGGGGGTGGAGTGGGGAATGGGATCAAAACGGGGGGTGGGGTGAGGAGGGAAGTGCACGGGATTATGGTGATGGCACACGGGTAACTTGGTGATGGGAAACCCGCAGGGATTACAATTGAGATGGGAAAAAAAATGTATAAAATGATGTAAAAATAAACTGTTATAAAATAAAATAAAAAATAATTTAGGGTGAAAACTTGTAACTCTCTTTTGTGAGTTAATGGTGATCAAATAAAATTCATATGTGAAAAAGAACATTAGAAGGTAATAAAAAAGAATGAAAGCAAAGGACTAAATTAGGTAAGTCTTCGAATTTCTGGGGGGGAAATTGTGGAAAATTTTATTTCCACGTTTAGCAAAATCCTTTTTAAAACTATGTTCCTGGTGGTTAAGAAGTAATTTTCACCATAAATTAATTTTGAAGTACCCTTAAAAAGAAGTATGTAGGAATAAGTATGACTTCTGATTTACTAATTGTCCATTCTAAGCATTTAGATAATAAACTTAGTTTTTAAAGTAATCAAATTGTGAACATTTAAAAAAATCGTACTGTGCCACGCTCTGAAAGCCACTTCAATTCAGTCCTCTAAGTCCTATTGCACATGATTGATGGGGCACAGCTACAATTTAAGTTTGACTCACCCTGAAATTAAGTCACAATTTTTCTTCTACTTTATATTTGTCACAAAATTGGTTAAGATGGGCTCTCCCTGGTGGCACAACTGGTTAAAGGATAACACTATGAAGCTATCTGCAGCCATTGCAGCATGAGTTTGATTCCCACCCAGGGAGGTGACCCACATGCCATGGCAGGTCCTGTCCTGCCCACTGTTCCCCTCAGCAGTGTATTTCTGATACTCTGCCTGTTCTCCCCACTCTGTCTCTAGTAAATCCTCTCAACCCCCACATCTCTGGCCTATACCTAGTTCTTGTATGCATAACTAAAAGAAATCTTTAAAAAAACAGGTTCAGGTTCAGGTATGGAACACAAAAGGTATATAGTCATTACTCATGTGTTGTGTTTTAAATGAATTTAAAAAAGAAATATCACAGAAATGGAGAGAAAGGATTCATTTCGCATAGTGTCTCTATTTCCAAATCTTTGTTCCCTCACCTGTCTGCGAAGGTCTCTTGTCTTCTTGCACATGTTGTCTATTGCAATATTCAGGGTATTGCTCCTTTCCTTTTTCCCAGTCTGCAAGAGAGAAAAAGAATGCATAAGCTAAGGTATCAATTTTCTCTTTATCATTTAGCAGTTTGCTTTCTAAATTTCCTGAAAATATCTGCTAGAAAGTTCAAGAATAGGCTTCAAAACTGCTGTAATATTGTATATGATTCATGAGTACTTCACTTAAAACTAAGTAGAACAGTTATTAAAGCTCATATTATTTACTTCTTTAAGCTTCCATAATATTTCTGATACAGGATTAGGTTGTATTCAGTATGGCAATAGGCAGAACATTATCTCCAAGAAATTCTGACCTTCATTCTTAACAAGTTGACTTTTTAACTGGTAAGCATGCAATTAGTTTAAAAGCATTAGATGACCAATTCGTCATCTTCTGTGGGAGTTTCTCAAGTCATTTTCATGGTGTATTGTATAAGATATGCAGAGGCATATTGGAGTTTTGCTAAACATTAAATAAAATATGCAGTGCAAATTCATACAATTTGCAAGCGTTGACCACAATTTCAGCTGACAATATTCCAAGAACAAATTGTTTTAAATAAAAACTTTACTCTGTTTTTGGTTCTTTAAGATAATTTGTGCAACACCTTTTCATTTCCTCAGACAGAACAGTTCTCTCTGTTATATCCTTAACCTAAATCTTTAGGCTATTAAGCACATAGAGAGTCACCTTGGTTGGTATTTTCTACATATTACTTTTGTGGGAGACAGCTGAATTGAATCTAAGCATACTTTCTTTGTGATGCCTTGTATAAAAGAAATTGAAAATAATCATTATGTGATTCACCTTTAAGAAAGCTGCTACCATTCAAATTAATAAACTGAAAAGGACTCTTTAGAGGAGACCTTGAAAATCAAGACAGCAAGTTTAGACCTTGAAAATCAAGACAGCAAATTTAGTAGAAGCTTATAGCATGGACTTCATGAAGAAGACATCAATGTCAAGTATTGACCCCTGGGCACTTGTCACACACTACCCCCAATAACTAAAATTATACGTAAAAACTAGTTTATAGTCAAACAATTGCTTTACAAGGAGTTCCAGACTATCCTACCTTTTAAATCCTATTTTCTGCACATAGTCTCAAGAACTATCATCACATTAACATTGTCATTTTATTTTTCGATCTCTTCTTACAAGATGTTACTTATAAATATACCTTTTAGTTATGTGTCTCTCTCTAAGCAAACCCTTTTTAAAATACCACCTGTTTCTCCATAATTTGCACAAATTCCCTCAACAACTGTTCCAAAGTAAATTCTCACCTCCCTTCATTCCAACAGCATGTTGGAAATCTCCAGTATTCTTACTTATTTTCTTTGGTGCATTCTCATTACCATTATGATGTCAGAATCTTGACACTGACAATAGCTATATAAATATATACATATATAAATATGCATATATAATATTATATTACATATAATATTATATAGTATCTATAGTATTTATATATAAATATAGGACTATGTAATACATTTAAATAAATTTATGTATTTTATATATATTCTCTATCTATATATCTCTATCTGTCTACCTACCTATTTCTATTGTTAGTTGTAACTAACTGGAAATACATACAGTAGGTGTTGACTAGTTTATAAATGAATAACCTGATTCAAAGCACAAAATAGTTTTATTGGGGGCCTACTATCAGAATAGTGCCATCTAAGATCTGGAGAAGATCTACCTGTCAACATCTACCTGTCAACACACTGCTAAAATTCTGTATTAGCTGAAGTTGTGGGGTAGCAATTTGAAAGCCAGGTCTATATTTTCTCAGCAACGGTGTTACTGATATTTAAGATAAGGAAGATTATCATAATTTAAATCACTCATATAATGCAAAATGTTGTCATCCATGCACCTCTGTCTGCTAATTTATAATTACAATGCCAAGGTACTATGACAGTAAAAAATAAAAAACACAAACTGGCTCTGCAGATTTCCATGTCTCCTAGGGCAGACACAATAGAGAACTACTAATTCTTCACTCAATTTTGAGAGCAATAGTCCAATGTTTCATGGTAGAGACTGTGACTACTGTAAGAAGAGACAGAGAAAGGGAAAGGTAGGAGAAATAAAAAGATTTTGGATGTCAGAGTATAATAAAAATAATGGTGGCCATTACTCAGATGGAAGTTGTGGATACCTGCACGACTCTTACCCAACATGCTGTATGTCATTAATAAAGAACTATATCAAGTTAATGCTGGACTACATAAGGCAATGGCAAAAATAGATGCACAATGGGCTATAAGACCATTTCTAATTTACCTGAAGAATCTATCCTTTATTTGATAGTTTCATGAAGCATTGGCTCTTATTTGCATCTGTTCACTACATGAAAAAAGAAATAGTCAAATGGACAAAAGCAGTCATCCAGGAACAGTTAAAACAGAGATGTCCTCTGTCCCCAAATGTATATACAAGTCATCAAAATTGATGTGGGATTCTCCTGTTGTGTTAGCCATAAAAAAACTCACAAGTTCTGTGATTCATCAGAATAACTAAAAGATACAGTGTTCTCTGCACTCACAGCGGTGGCATACAAACCTTTAATAAAGGATGACAGGAGGTGACAGCATGAAGAGATTCAATGAGAGCTATAAAGAGGATTTCCTAATTTCTACCCAGAGCTTAACCTTACTTTAAAGCATTTCACTGGGTCAAAGACATTTTGTGCTCAAGGTAATAATAAACAGTCCCTATCATTGCAAGAAATTTAAAGTTCTCTCTTGCCTTCTTCTTTCTGTTCCACCTTTCTTCTTTTTCACTTCCTGACTTTTATTGGTTCTTAATCTATTTATCCAGATTTATTTAGCTTCAGCCAAGCCATTTTATGCCTCTTTATTTCTTTTGCATGACATAAAAATAAATAAAGCAAGGAGAAGTAGGCCCATTCTACTTAAAAGCTTTGATTCCTTCTGTTTTCAAAAACTTAGCAAATCATCACCCAATGAGCTGGGACTGAAGGTTGAATTGTCTGGACTGAGATGAGGGACACAAAGGGCAGGATATTAAAGCAGAACTATTGACAACAGGATGTACCTGCCTACACCCCAGGTACTCAGAGGAGAGGATGCTCCTTAAAGAAAGTCTTGATAGGAGACATCATTAAGTGAGGACAGCCCTGCTAATGGAAAAGGAACCACTTACTGTGGAGTGTCAGGGCAGACTCAGAAAACACGACACAAATCAGCATTGTAGAGGAAAAGTAATTGCATTCTTTAGCAATAAATAAACTGCCAGGTAAGACTATATGGAAAACAATGGTTCTGGGCATAGAATTCATCTAATGAAATTTCATTGAAATTGCTAATGTATGAAATAACAAATACAGCCCTAATTTGATATGGGCTTATAATCTTAACTATGACTATTTCTATAAATTGTGCTTCACTCTGCTTCCATGTAACTAACTACACTTAATTGTACTCTCTTGTGATTTCCTTAAACCTGCCCACACATTTGAAAAAAATATTTTTATTAATAAACCTATCCTTGAATTAGCTTAATTTGAATGATCCATCTGTCTTCTACTGGGAATGTGCTGGGAAGAATTTTCAAATACTGCACTGTCCAGTATGATAGCCACTAATCACATGTGACTATTTAAATTTAAATGCAAATTAATTAAAATTAAATAACATTAAGAAATCAATTCCCCACATCCTTAATTTTAGAGTGCTCAATAACCACATGTGTCCAGTGGTAATGGAATTGTATGGCACATTTCCCTCATTGCAGAATGATATACTGGACAGCCCTATTCTAAAACATATCTTTGTATACTAAAATATATTATGAATTTCTACATTTATGCAAGTAACCTTTAAGATGAATGAGAAAATAATGCACAATAAACAAATATCCCAACCCTAAAGACCCTTAACTGCTACTAAAAAATCTTGAGTCTAATTGTGTCCTTCTTTTGCTCTAAAACGCTTCACTCTATTCCCATGGTGGATGGAATTAAAAACAAAAGTTTTGAGGGCACTCCCTGGTGGCGCAGCAGGTTAAAGCACAGCACTGAGAATCTAAAGCCGCTACCGCAAGAGTACGATTCCCACCTGCCCAGGAGGTGACCACATGGTGTGGCAGACCTCTCCTGACCCACCTGCTGCTCCCCTCTGCAGTGTACTTCGTCGATCTGCCTGTTCTGTTCCCTACTCTGTCTCTGGTGAAGCCTCTCACCACCCCTGAGCCTCTGGCCTGTACCCCAGTTTTGTATGCACAAATAAATAAATCTTAAAAAAAAAAAACGAAGTTTTGATCATTTTATTCAAGATCCCATAGGATACACTTCTATATATACACATCAAATCACTAGTGAGATACTTTAATTGGTCATTTACTTTAAAAGTAATACAATCACAACTCAGGAACTCTGATCAAGTAAAACTTATTCTCCCTCTTTACCTGCTTTTCTGAGTATGCTCTTCTATCAAGATTCAACTCAATTACTATTTTGTACAGCTTTTTTTTTAATCTCTCAGTTGAAGTTAATTATATTTTCATGATATTTTCTTAAACTTTTTTATTTTACACTTATATTTTTATTTGTTCAATAAACAGTTCAAGCTATTCAATAAATCTTTATGATATACTATATATCAGTACAGAGAACAGAGAACAGATAATAGTGCATCAGTCCTCATGTCTGCACACATCTAGTGGCATAAACAGACACAGACAGTATTTAAAAGTGGTATCCTGGGCCCTCCCTGGTGGCGTGGCTGGTTAAAGCACAGCACTAAGAAGCTAAAGCCACTTCCGCATGAGTTCTATTCCCGCCTGCCCCGGAGGTGACCACATGGCTGGCAGACCTCTCCTGACCCACCCACTGCTCCCCTCAGCAGTGTACTTCCTCAATCTGCCTGTTCTGCTTCCCACCCTGTCTCTGGTGAAGCCTCTCACCGCCCCTGAGCCTCTGGCCTGTACCCCAATTCTGTATGCACAAATAAATAAATCTTAAAAAAAAAAAAAAAGTGGTATCCAGGGT